CCTTTATAGTTTGTTTTTGTAGGAAAATAAATAAATAAATAAATAAATAAATAAATAAATAAATAAATAAATAAATAAATAAATAAATAAATAAATAAATAAATAAATAAATAAATAAATAAATAAATAAATAAATAAATAAATAAATAAATAAAAATATCTGAAAGCAATGCGTTGCATTGGTGTATTCTTATCTAAGTTTGTCGAACTTATGATAATGTATGTACTTCAGGGGGCAAGGCTAGATCCCATTCCTGGAATCACAAGGTCAATAACAAGGTTAAATCGGATAAAAAGTCTGTGAGCAGTACACAATCACAATGGGGATATGTTGCCCCCCCCCCCCCCAACACCTACACTATTCACCACTTTCACACTTCCCATAATGCCTGGTAAAGATCACGGATATGACGTATGGCCGACCCCTCCCGCTTCCTCGATGTAAAGTTCTACCGACAAACTGGTCAACTATATTGTTTTGAATGATTTATCTAGTTTAAAGCGCATGCCATAATTGCATTTTTGTTGGAATTAGAGAAAATTACGTACCTACTATCTTTCTACCTTCTACCGAAGACTCTCCTAATCGCACGGTCGCATTACGTATATCCCCACCATACGTCGAATTCAATCCATATCCGTGATCTTTACTAGGCATTATGAGAAGTGTGAAATTGGTGAATACAGGAAAATACAACAACTTTCTTGGGCTCTATCGTCTCAGGATACGGTCTGCAGCTTTTGCCAGTCTACAGGAGCTTTTTAAAAGACTGCCTCCTAGCAGTAAATGTTTGAAGTGCAAAACATAAATTTTCACAGGTCATACTAAAATGTGCTTTCTACAGCTCGTGGTCGGTATTATGAACATTCATGTTTACTCTATGGTGTCGTACTTGCTGCAGTACCAAGGTCAGCCACCAGGAGGCCCATATTTGACCTTGACCTTTGCCTTATGCTACCTGCCAATATAGCAAATATCATCACAATCCATGAAGTCGTCCTGAAGTTATCTTGACTACAAATGTGAGAAAACATTCAAATTACAATACATTGCGTGTGAAACTCCTCTCCTTTGTCAATGCTTCATTTTAACATGTTCTTATTAATTATGCAAATGACTCCCACATTCACATAATATATGCATAGTGATGTTAACCTTTAAGTAACTTGTCACAAGGTATAAAATACCCATCATTTACCAATAAGAAATCACAGAATTTTACCAATAATTATGCAAATTATGTCATCATTTGCATAATTGGTGCCTGTTGATGTTCCTTCTGCCATAGATTAAATAGATCACATGTAAAAAAAGTACCATTATATGAAACACTTGAAATGTAGAATTTTCTCCTTAATTAATCAAATTCTAAAGTCCTCATTTGCATCATTTGCATCTAAATTATGTACATCTCTCTTGCAGCTACCTAAATACTAAAAATGCTGAAAATACGTTGTTCCTATCAGATACAGAAAAGTGGCTACGTAGCTGTTCTTACGATTTTTGTACTTCTCCATCTGAAAAGCACAACTACTATAGTAGTTCTGCAAAGCAATTAAAATACGTGTCAAGAGAAAATCAATGTAGGTTGGAGATTCGAATGCGCTTGTCAAGTCGCAGCTACATTCACCGTGCGATTTTAGTAGGGATTTCTAACGTGGCTATGGCAGAACCTCAAGGATCTAAGACAAGATAAAGAGTTTCCATCACAAGACAGCCGACTTCAACACGACATATTCACGACAGTTCCAAGAATACCCTCTTAACCGTATCGTATGCCAAACGTGTCCAGGGTCGTACTGAGAACGGGTTAAAGAAAAATAAAACAAACTCCCTTCCGACCCACTCAACGCAAACGACGTCACATTATGCACTTTACTTCTTACAGGCAGCCCCTCCCTCCCATACACTACTAACTGCCGTATCTTTGATATTGTGTTCAACTATATTCATCACTCTGGAAGATTTGACCAATCACATTAACGCTAAAGGTATTGGTGCGCCAGCCACTTTCATTTTATGTTTTTGTTATATTTAATGTCATCTTTATGTTTAGATTTGTATTATGTTTTATGAGCAGCGGATTCACATAAGCACACGAAGTGCTTCCTATCTAATGTTCAAAAATCCATGTGAATAAAATGAAAAAAAAGAAAGAAAGAAAATTATCAAACTGGACAATTTCTCAGCACAGGACCTCAATGCTGATCATACACACTGTTCCTCAAAATCCCACTTGTCCATCAAAAGTAGCAGTTTGACCAACAAAAGAGTCGGTCATATTTCTGCATGTCTCCGTTTTTTTTGCATTGCCTTTTCTTTACGCTTTTACCAAGATGAGACGGGCCATTGAGTTGTTCTATTTTACGCTTTTACCAAGATGAGACGGGCCATAGAGTTGTTCTATTTTACGCTTTTACCAAGATGAGAGGGGCCCATGGAGTTGTTCTATTGGCTAGAAAATTTAATTGCGTCAGCAGGAGACTCAAGGGGAAAGCCTCCATTGGTGGATATCACCGAACGTCAGCCCACGTGTTATTACTTGCGAGTGAACAGCTTTAACAGCTCCCTGTTCAACAGAAGTTCACAATTCTGCATGTCTCCGTTTTTTTGCATTGCCTTTTGTTTACGCTTTTACGAAGATGAGACGGGCCATGGAGTTGTTCTATTTTACGCTTTTACCAAGATGAGACGGGCCAATGGAGTTGTCCTATTGGCTAGAAAATTTAATTGCGTCAGCAGGAGACTCAAGGGGAAAGCCTCCATTGGTGGATATCACCGAACGTCAACCTGTGTATTATTAGGCCACGCCGTCTTAATTTTATGGATGACATCCTCTGAAGACCCCCAAACTAGTGCGCGCAGGCGAATAAAAAAAATTCCTAGTACTGTAGTACAGCTAGTACTGTGAATTTGTGGCAGTACTTAGCGACGTATACAACAAGCCGGCACATACTGGCTTTTTGCGGCATGATGAATCGGCACTGTAAGTATGTACTGAGTTCTAGAGTCGTGGAGCTTCGGTAGCCTGGGTGCCCAGCTCCGTGTTGTCGCTAACTACCATGAGCTACCCAGGCTTAGAGCCAGGCCAGAGCCTCGGTGGACGAAAATCAATGCGCGCGCGGATGTCATCCATAAAATTAAGTCGGCGTGGCCTTACTTGAGAGTGAAACGCTTTAACAGCTCCCTGTTCAACAGAAGTGCGACCAGTGCGCGCAGGTGTTGTTGCATGGTGAACGGCACGCTGGCAGACGCAGTGAACGGTACGTTACCGTTGTGGCGGGCGGCGCTCAACAGCATGCCTCCCGAGAACCAGACCGCCCTGCTGCCTGGTGAAGACGCTTACGATGTGGGCACGGGCGTGAAGGTGGGCTCCACCATCCTGCTCGTGGTGCTGATCTGTGGCGGCACCTTCGGGAACTGCCTGATCATCGGGGCGGTGTACGCCACGCCCAGCCTCCGCACCGTCTCCAACATCTTCATCGTCAACCTCGCCGTGGCAGACCTCATGGTCTCCTCAGTCGTGGACACCTTCAACATCGTCGGGATCTTAGATCAGGTGTGTGTTTTTTTTATTAATGATAAGAATAACCTTTATTGGTGATGTACAGCCGGAGCACTAAGTTTTGGGGAATTTTCCTTCTTAGGGCATATAACAGTCCTGAAGAACGTCTTGCTTTTGTAGAGATGACATCGATAGCCTAATAAATAAAATAAAATCAATAACCTTTATTGTACATCCATGCACTATATCGGGCTAAGTACAAACGAACAGATGAAATGGGTAATATACATGTTTGTAGTACAAACAGCTCTAAAACTACTCTAATATAGAGCTTCGGCTCCTTCTCGTTTCTTTGTGATGTTAAAAATATAATTTGAAATGGGTTTGTATAATACAGGATGATCAAGGCGCATAAGAAATATGAATTTTTCAATATTAGGCAAGTATTGGAAGTATGGAAACGTACTTGTAATATATCTAAAAAGATCATTTCTTTCATTGCTTCGTCTTCTACTTTGTTTAAGCTACAAAATTGGCAGATTCTATTGAAATATGTATCGACAAGACGCGGTGGCGACACACTCAAATTACACTCATATTCATGTCGCCACCAGACAATACATAATACATACGACAAGCAAAGAACAGATAACA